TATCTTACAGGGGTGCTGTTTTATCACAACTGAGTGAGAATCAGGTTCAGAAAAATAAAAATAACTTCTCAACTAATTTCATGTATTCCATTAAATTGGAAAATCACCTTTAAGTCACAATTTCTTTTCTATTAAAAAGAACAATCACAAAATTCAATTGGTACTGAGTATACATAGATTTATAAACCTAGAATTATATATTTTTTAGGAATGAAAACAGTATGTACCTCTTTAGGAGGCAAATTCATTGTTAGAGATCCTTAACACATATTAAAAATTATATAAAAAAAGAAGCCAAATTATATGAACTTGGTTGTCTATGGTTACCATAAACACAAACCCAAAGACTAATGAACAGGATACCTACACAATTCTTAAAAAAAGTCCTATCTGTAACACATATGATTAGCCCCAGCTTTGCCATAAATATTTATGTAATTGGCTTAACCATTCTTGTCAATGAACATTAATTTCTCTATCTGAACAATGGGCATAATGCCTTACAAGCCTCATATGACTTTACAAGACACACATGGACAAACCTAAGTTTTGTAAACTGAAAAGCACGATTAACTGTGAGGGCCACATCTGAGAGTTTCAAGTAGGATATGGACTCCAAAGCACCAAATGACACAGTTACATGTAATTCTTTTCTTTTCTTTTTTTTTAAGTTTCAAAATCTTTTTCTTTTCCTTTATTTATTAAAAGAAAAGGGATATATGTACTGAACATGCAGGACTGTGACACAGATACACATGTGCCATGGTGATCTGCTGTAGCTACTGACCCATACTCTAAGTTCGCTCCTCTCACTCCCCCTGCCCACAACAAACCCTGGTGTGTGTTGTTCCCTTCTCTGTGTCCATGTGTTCTCAATGTCCAACTCCCACTTATAAGTGAGAACATGCATGCTTAGTTTTGTGTACATGAAAGTATTTCCTGGCCGGGCGCAGTGGCTCAAGCCTGTAATCCCAGCATTTTGGGAAGCCGAGGCGGGTGGATCACAAGGTCAAGAGATCGAGACCATCCTGGTCAACATGGTGAAACCCCGGCTCTACTAAAAAATATACAAAAAATTAGCTGGGCATGGTGGCGCGTGCCTGTAATCCCAGCTACTCAGGAGGCTGAGGCAGGAGAATTGCCTGAACCCAGGAGGTGGAGGTTGCAGTGAGCCGAGATTGCACCATTGCACTCCAGCCTGGGTAACAAGCGTGAAACTCCGTCTCAAAAAAAAAAAAAAGAAAGTATTTCCTAGTCCTGAATGCATGCCTGGGCCATTGTTTTAATTTTCAGTAATCTTGGGGAAAAAAATTCAGTAGAAGTGAGAATCGAAGAGCTACCCTTTGTAAGAGATTCGATTTCCCAAGTAGCTACTAGACTGCATGGAGGGATCAACCCATAGTTTTAAGATGAAAATGACTTGAGCATCTTTGACGAATGACAGAAAGGAGACATATGAATACACAAGCACACATGGGAAGGTCAGGTCCCAAATACAGGTATGGGATTCATGTTCAAAGGAGAGTGATTTCCAGTACATGCTATGCTACAATATGGCTTCCAGAACACTTAAACTATATAAAGTAACTGGTACCATAGGTTTTTTTTTTCACTAATGCTGCTTATTCCTCTTACCGAACATTTCTGAAATAAGTTTATACGAAGAAAATGAAGAAAAATTTCGCCCACTGAGAGATGGGAAATTAGAAATAGGGGCATTGACAATGAGCTGACGATGTGTGGGTATAAGAAGTCAACCTGAGTGCTCTTCATGGAAAATGTGTTTCAGAAATTATGTCCCTAGGACCACATTCAAAATTGTCTTAAACTACAATACTAATCTCTGGGTGGTGCAATTATTTTTTTAAATTTTGTCATCTACTATTTCTAATTTCCCAAAATGGTTATACACTAGCTCTGCCATATTAAAAGGGATGTTACAAGAAACTCAAATTCTGGTAATGTATTTTTTGGTAAAGATCAGTCTAAAGACAGATCTGTATATATGACACAGACTATGAAACAGTGCCAACAAAAGGAGAGACTAAAGATAAAAAGACTTTAATTCTTGGCCCAGAAAAGAGATCTAACTGAAGTTAATAAAAAATACCAAACTTCTACTACTCAGAATATTGAAACTAGAGAATAGATAAATAAGCTGTTCTAAGAGAAATTAAAATGAAATATTTTGTACACAGGAGGTAACAATGAAATAATTGTAAATGAATGGTACAGGTGTGAAAACTTCACGAGTTCAATGAAGGTTTTGATTTATTTTTAGATGACAGATCCACGATGCATAGTTACATGACATAAGAATTCACCGTGAATCCCAACCACTGAGGATAATACCATGATGAGCGATGACCATGTGGTCCCATGAAATGTCTCTTGGTATCACAACCAGCAGCAGGTTATTTGGGAAAATATCTGTCACTTTTAAGATAGAGCACATCATGTATTAGCTTCGTCATTTCCACGAATAGGATAATGAAGACTATAATGTTTCAAAGGTAATTCTGAATCGTGCTCATTGTGGGAGAAAAGCTGTGGGAGACATAGTTTAGAAATGTACAGAATAGTGAAAAATTAAAATTCTCTTCACTCTTAACTAGTTTCTCCAATTACCTGGAGATCTGTACTTTACAGAAGTTACCAGTTTCATGTGCATCAATCTACCAATCCTTTGAGATTTCATATCTTGTTTAATTTTATTTTTTATATACTGTTACATAGTCCAATGAATTGTTTCTTGATTAGGTTTTCAGTTATTAGATTCCATTTTTTCTATTGAATATGCAAAAACATAACAATTAAAAAATAAAAATGCTGAAGTTTACACCGAACTTTAAAGGCATTAGATCACTTGAGCCCAGGAGTCCAAGGCTGCAGTGAGCCATCATCACACCGCTGCGCTCCAGCCTGGGCAAAGACTGATCCTCTATCTCAAAAAAGAAGAAGAAAAAAATCTGTGCATTGGCCTTTTGAATACATAAGAGTATTTTCCCAACGGTCTATAAATAAAAACTACTTTAAAATGATAAATGGCAAATTCAATCCATACATTTTCGTAGAGCACATTCTTGTCTTTATTCTTAATCAGTTAAAACCTGGGTTTAAAGCAAAAGAATATACTTGCTAGTAAAGTGTTAAGTACCAGCAGCATGTATAATATTATACATGAAAAGAGGAAAAGAAAACGTTCTTTTACTCTTGTACTAATTTATTAATATTCTTACCTGGTGACTTTTTAAGACAGACTTAGGCCATGAAAAATGTGCTTCATTCTAAAAGACCCATTTTGAGTCTGGATTTTCTCATCAATAACCTGGAAAACACACTACTCAGGCGCTGTCACGTGGAATATAACTACTTCTCTAACACAGAGGACTTTCCCTGAGGATTGCTTTGTCTTTGTATCAACTTCGGGTTTTTTGTTTGTTTTGTTCCAACATAAAGCAGAGCCTACTTCATCTATACAGATTCAAGGTAAAAATAATTCTTCAGTCTTCCCTAGTTGCTTTAATTTGTTAACCGTCTTACTATAAAAAAAATATTATTTTACAAAGGCCAGGTTTTAAAAATTGTCACATTTACCATGAAAAGATGCCTTAAAGAGTTCAAGTATTGCCGTCATAAAACAAATGTTATTTATTCTGTAGCAAAGAGGAAAAAAATATCAATCTGTCTGCCTTTCAAACGTATACATTTCTACATCACATCATCATTCTAAAAGTACTTGAATATATTCCAATGAACTTAAAAATTCCTAATAAACATAAAAAAAGATTAAAGTTTCCTGGGGAACTGGGTAGACTGGCATTGGGAAATCATTGGTGACCTATCAATAAGTGGTTTTGATATAGATGAAGGCCAGATTGCAAGATCCTATGAAGGAAGTGGGCAGAACAGAAGTGAATGCCACTTATAAGAGAAATGAGAACTTTCCGGTAAGACAGAGTAGAAGAAAGTTTCCTTGGGATGCAAAGAGTTAGTTCCCCCCAACTTTGAAGTCAAGAGAAGGGGGCTAATGAACAGCCTGTGTTACAAGATCCCAATCGAACATTCAGTAAACATGTACGGTACAAAATGCAACATACAAGTTATGGGGAATTTATGAATGAACCAAATCACTTTGGCAGAAGGGATCAATCATGATAGACGTGAAAATGTTTTTCTTCTTTATATGGTTATTTTCGTTGATTTACAGTTGCCTATAGTGAGAAGTCTCTATTCTGTTCATTAAACAACACTGGTGGTATCTGAGTAGTTTTTAGTCACTGAAGGAAGTTAAATAAGCAGCTAGGAGAAAAACACTGGGTTAGGTTGAAGTGATGATGACGTAGAAGAGGAACAGTGAGAGAACTGCATAAAAAGAAAGCGAAAAGGTTGCCTCGAGATAGGTTAAAACCTGGGAGAGATGAAACGGTATTGCAAGCCACAGAAACAAAGCAACAGTACTGAGATCTGAATGATGCTACAGGGATGCTCACAGTTCATGTGTTCTCTCCAGGACACCCTGCTCTACTTTAATCTTTTTGATTGGGTGATTTTTTTTCTTTAAAAAAAATCTCCACTGAACCTAAGTACCTAGAATTCTACAACTTGATGTCACCCTCTCTTCTATTAAATCCCTTTAAAATTCATTTTATTTGATTAAGTCTACAGAAACAAAAAGAACTAGTGTAGATGCGGTTCAAATAACTCACCAAATTTTCCAAAGTGACACTGTCTCTCAGACTCTGCAAATGAATATATGTCAATTTTATCCCAATTAATAGCATGAGAAATTGTCGTGCTATGCACTGAAAGAACTCTCTGCAGTGCCAGCCCAGGGGCAGGGGGGTAGACGGTGATGGTGGATAGTAAGAATCACCTGTGCAGCTTTAATGAAATACACATGCCAGAGCCCCACCCCCACAAACAGTTTTCAACACATAACTTCTGCTTTCTACGATTCTAAGTTCCAAATTCTGAGTATAATTATCCTTCTAGGAAAATTTCCATCTCATACTACTTCACAGGCACTATTCTCACCCATAACAACACTCAAGGATATGGCAGGTAGGGGAGAAGTGTAGGAATGTAAAGTAACCAGTAGAAATTAAGTTCCAGGGAATCTTGATGTTTTCTTTTCTAAATATAAAGACTAAAATCATTCTGCCTACCTCAGGGTTCTATTTAGCTATGTTCTGACTACTTTTTATTCAAGTTTCCAAACAGCATAGAGATTTCTTATAACTATCCTATAAATTAGAATTCTATTTTGGAATAAGTGAAAGGATCTTTTTAGATTTAAGCAATTATGATACATTTCTAATCTGAGCTTTTAAAATGGCAGTATTAGGTGACCTTGCTGCTGCTCCCTTTTATTACCGTAATTTCAAAAATGCACGAATGCATTTGTTTTCTCTCACTAAATTATATTAAGAAGAACGAAGTTTTCATTTACAACATGATTTCTGTTATTGAATACCTGGTGGCTTACTGAAAAAAGAAACTCCGAACTGTAACCTATATTTCTCAGTTTTAGAATCTCATGAAGACCTAAATAAAAAGGTATCTTTGCTCCTTTCTAATTATCAAGAGAAAGCATAGGATAGAAGAGAAGAGGAGACTGGGAAAGCCGGAAACACAAAGACAGGCCCCAACAGCATTGTGTACTCCCAAGAGAAACAAACTTTAGGTTTCAAGAAACAATTGCTTGCTGTCTGGGAGATGCTCAGGCATCAAACAATAAAGAACAGTCAACAGAGGCAAGAGGCCGAGCATGCTGCTGAGATTCCTACTCTCTAATCCCTCCAAGCTCCAGTAAAAGGGCCAGCTGTTGCCACCTCGCGTAGGGAGTCAGCAAAGCAAATTAACTGCGGGAGAAAAAGAAGCTGAGGATATTGAAAAAATTCTAATTTACCAGCCTCTTTAAGAAGCTATAATGCTTTTAACATTAAGAATATCAAACTATACCATTAAAATAGGCCTGTACAATGGTAGCCCAAGTGAAGGAATTTACCACTATTTTCACATTTTATTGGTAAACAAGATACAGTTCTGAAGTATTCAGAGTCTACTAAAGTGTATCTTCTGCTCACATAAAGAGCAAGAAACATGAAGAAACACGTGCAACTTCTAACAAGTAGCAGTTTATTTCTTCAGCACTTTCATCCAGCTCAACAAAAAGCCTCAGCTTGAAAAAACAGCCACCACTGTGACAATTAAAGCTTCTATAGATTCTATTAATATAACTGTTGTAGCTGAACTTTAGGATTCTAAGTAGGAACAAAAAAACTCTAAATTTTGGGCAACTCAGACACTACACCCATGGTGGAATCTGATAAAGTACATCTAGAGATATGTTTACAAGTCATATAAGGAAACTTAACTTCCCTTAATTTGCTTAGTGGTTTCATACACACTGTAGTGTTCATTAACCCAGATGTTCTATCAAAGGTTTCATACAATTCGAAAGTTTAAAATCCAAAGACATTTATATTATAGAAAGTCCCTGTGATAAGAATGATTACCTTCATCATTATCATCATCACTAATTTATGTCTTTCTGAGTAACCCTGTGAATGACCCTGGTAACTAGGGAAGTTTCTCAATATAAAGGACAATTTTATGTAATTTTATTTCCCAAAGGCTTGAGTCCCCCCACCCCAAACTATTTTGGCACAGTAGTTAAAAGACCTGGTCCCAAATCTCAGCTTTAGCATCTACTACCTTGGGTTTCTAACCCTCCATTTCACCTGTGAAATGAGAAAAATAACTACTTAACTCAAAAGTTATGAGACTCAACTGGAAATTCACATAAAGCATTTAAGCTAATATCTAGCACAAGAAAAGTATTCAAATGTGTCTTTACGTTCATAAAGTTTCAAGTTTTTACATGAAATCGAAAGGAATTTCTTGCAAGATAAGAAGAAATGACTCTTTAGGTCTTTTTTTTTTTTTTTTTGAGACAGAGTCTTGCGCTGTTACCCAGGCTGGAGTGCAATGGTGTGATCTCAGCTCACAGCAACCTCTACCTCCTGGGTTTAAGTGATTCTCCTGCCTCAGCCTCCCGAGTAGCTGGGATTACAGGCGCCTACCACCATACCCAGCTAATTTTTGTATTTTTAGTCAAGACAGCGTTTCTTCATATTGGCCAGGCTGATCGCACACTCCTGACCTCAAGTAATCTGCCCGCGTTGGCCTCCCAAAGCGCTAGGATTACAGGCATGAGCCACTGCACCCAGCCAAGACTCCTTAGGTCATAGAGCAATCTAAATGATCAGTAATGTCCCTTAAATTCATCAGTATCAATGATTCTCTGATTACATGCACAGAGAATAAAAAGCCTAACTCAGGCTTTAGTCAACAAGAGTTAAAAAAGAACTCTAAGCCCTAAGTTACAAGTAATTTCTATGAAGGTCCAAAATTTCACAATAACCTAGTAAACAGCTGATACAATGTTCATAGAACAATCAATAAAACAATTCCACACTATACTGGTGAAACCTGGCCTAGGAGCAAATAACACTACTACCAATTGTTATCAGTGCCCAGATACTCAGTTTCTGAGGTAGAATGGGGCAGAAAACAAATTGTACCACAAGTCTGCACAATGTTAGCACTCTTACTTGTTATATATGACAATCACAAGACACGTTTTATAAATCATAAAATAGATCATAGCAAAAAGAACAACTTTGAATTGAGCCATAGCATACTAATCTTCGTCTCTCTAGAGAAAGTATTCTAAAGTTGTAGTCTATTTAAATAAATAGATTGGACATATTACTAAAACTTACACTGAGAATCCAAATAGATTTTATTTAAGTTGACACCATACTTAAACGTCTATTTAAAAAATTATTTGAAATGGAATTTTCTATAAAATCAAAAGTTTCATGCAAGTCCTCATGGGCATATTTTAACAGCAGACAATGTCTAAGTATGGGTAGATACTGCAAACAAGAAATTAAGGTAGAAAAATCAGCTGTATATCCTATTAAATTATCCATAAGGTAACTCAGTATTTCAATGTCTTCAGAGATTATGTTTTCAAAGTCTCGTTATCTCTAAAGTACTTTCACACGACCCTAATCCATTATCAGTTATAAAAACAAAATTAAGCTTTTCAAACCTTTTATGCGAAAATCGTCTCAGACTTGCAGAAGAGTTGCAAGACCACTACAAAGACATGCTTTCCTGAAACATTTGCTGTCACTATGCGTTATCATTTCTAAATACTCTATTGCATATTAGCTATGAATAAGAGTATTTTCCTAAATAATCCCAACTTAACAATCAAAATTTAAAAATTAACACTGGTAGATTTCTACTATGGAAGCCTCAGATCCCATTCAAATTTCACTAACTGGCCCATTAATGTTCTTAGAGCAAAAAGATCCAATCTAGAATCACACATTGCATTTAGTTTTCAGTCTCTTCCCGCTGGAGCAGTTCTTTGCACTTCTCTTGTCTTTCATGGTCCTGATGCATTTGAAGATTACAGGCCAGTTATTCTACAGACTGTACTTTAACTTGGGTTTGTCTCAGGTATTGTTATGACTGAATTTAAGTTACACATCTTTGATAAGAACATACTAGAAGTCCTGCTGGAGTCTTCTTGCATTTTAGAGGATGACATGTGGTTTTGATTTGACCGTTACTGATAATATTAACTCTGACCTAAAGTGATGACTGTCAGGCTCCTCCACTGTAAAGTTACTCTTTTCCCACTTTTAATTAGTACATATCTTCTGTGATTATATAAACATCCCTTTTTGCATCACTGCTTTTATTCCCTTATTTATATAATTACCAATGTATGGATTCCAATCTAATTCAATGGGTTGCAATTTGTTACTGTCATTATTTTGAGGCCCAAATTGTTCCCGGCCTGGCCAGTTGGGGAGCCTCCTTCAGAGGGTTTCTGTGACCTGCTGACACCATCTTTCAAGCACTCCCTTCCTTTCTACACCAGCAGACTCATCCTGCTCTTTTTCTGTTCCAGCTATGGAATCTACCATATCTCCAAAGAATCCTACAAGAGCTCCTGAGACAAAAACAGGTGAGCTCCTTTTTCATGTCTTCAATCTTCCTAACTCTAGCTTTATGGCTTCATTTCAATAGTGAACATAGTACATCTTCTCCAGGATGTGAAAGAAAAATGTATTACTACTACTTATGTACTCATCTTACAGGGTAGTCAGTTGGTGAGTCTCCAAAGTAAGGAAATGATTTAAAATTGTACAAGACTGGCAAAAAATATGAATGCATCAACACTTTAACAACCTATACAATATTGGGTAACATGCTGAAACTGCAGTAAAAACCTGATTGCCTCCCTTTCTCCAAATCCAATTAACCAATACACTGTGTTCTAATTGAATAGGTTATATAAGAGACTTTGATCCTTATAATATATTAGTAACTTAAATTTTGAAAGCTTTCTGGCTGAAGTATCTATGACCATATTCTGAAGTGTTAGACCAAAGATAAACAGTAAGGAAAAGGCACTCTCAAGACTCTTTTTCAACTAATGGGCAAAATCATGGCTCATCTCCTTCAGAGTGACTGATGGAGCTAAGTCACTGAAAACCCTTGCTCCCAAGGACATTATTTGGTACATTAACACCATCATAATTTTATATGTACAAAAGTAGTAAATCATTTCAAGGGAGTCAGATGACTGCTTTCTCAGGAAAACCACCAGCAGGACATAAAACTTGGCTTGACAGTGTACATATCTGAGTTAGTAATCCACTTTCTTTAAATAATCAAATTGGGAGTAAAGAGCAATGGGGTTGAAAGCCTCTATTAAAAACATAAATATACTTATGATTTTTCGATCACTTAAAAATATGTTATGCTGGTAAAATTCATTGAATTACTTCACTGTCTTGATAATTATATCACAAGGGATATAAAAGAAATCTATTTGTATACATTGTGACAATAAAATACCTCTTTCTGTAACAGTACTAATTAAGCACGAAATTATGAACCAGGGACTTGCAAATGCTTGTTGAAGTAATTCTCCTAACAATCCTGTGAAATAACCACTATAAGAGTCATTTTGCAAATAAAGAAGCTAAGGCTTTGGCAGACTCTCTGTTGAAGATAACAGAGCTAGTAAATGACAGTTCAGATTTGAGCATTAATCTTCCACATTAGCACAAACTTTATACTGCCAAGGTGGCATGGAAAACACCAAAAGTGACAGAAAATGAAAATAAAGGTAAATGAGATACGTTTCAAAAGAAGAATATTTAAAGAAAGAAAAAGAAAGGAGAAAGCAATGCAGAGCTTAGATTACTACTAGAGGAAGAGATTGAGACCACAAGGGCTGATAACAAGGGGAGTGCATGCTGCGCAGGCAGAAGGTATAAAATAGAAGGGCCCTGCCATTTCTCCTGGATGTTCCTACTGATTGTATCGTAACAATGAAATTCAGTTTAGAAACTGCTTTCAAATTTGCAGAACTTCTTTCTAATTTATTAATAGTATCTGCTTCTATCCTTTTAGGTATCAGAAAACTATGAAGACAGCAAATGTAATACACATTGAAAGAAAAAGATACCTTGTTTCATGAAGCTGAAATAAGGGGAGCTTGTAACAAGACAGGTTCTAACAGAGGCAGGTGTTTTAATTTAATAACAATAATAATGTTTCACTGATTTCCTTGAGTTCTCAAAGACCTAAGTAAATTTTAGTACTCAATCCTATCTTAAATCTAGAAACCTACTAGAAAGAACCAAATATCCCCCAAACAGTGACAAAATGATTATGAGTAGGGTCAAGCTAGGATGGTGGGAAGGGGAAGCCATAGTAGCCTACGGTGGGTGTCAATGCCTGACCTGGGTTATAAAGGGGTTATGGGGCTGTTGGTAGCCTGGTCCAGTAATGAGGAGCGTACCTGTGCAGGAGGGTGGCCTGGTGCAGGATGTTGAAGCACAAGCAGGATAAAGAGGGTGTCTCCACAAAGGCATGGTATGGCTTCAGGTGAGGAGGGAATCTGTGTGGGGTCGGGGAGGGGCTAGCAGGTGGGGAGGATGAGATGGGGAGGCACCTGGCACAGAGTGTCAGAGCATGAGCTCAGTGAAGAGGACTCCATGAAGAAGAGTAACCTGCCATAGATGTCAGAGCCCAGACAAGGTAAAAGAGGTGTCAATGCAGGGTGCGGCACCATCTGGTGGCCTGGCGTGTAGTGTTAAGAGTCCGAGCTGTGTTAGAAAATGAAAAACATTTCTGCAATGGAAAAGGACATATCTTCATTCAAGTTTAGTTATGTATAGGAGGACTGACCAAAATATAAAAATATATTAAAAATACTAGAAGCCCGTTTTCTATCAGGAAAATGAATGACAAATATCAAAAGGAAGAACACTAGAACAAACCCTGTAACGCTGGATTAAAATGGGAAGCATCAGCATCAATGCACACTTTTTAATATACAAATATACACATGATTTAGGAATACAGATGTCAATTTGTATATATTCATCTGCACACACACAAACGCATCCACAACACTTATTTCCTAGCTGTTTCCACTGAGAAACCTTGGAACAGTGCTTTTCCAATGAGTGACCATATATAATTTCCAGGTCTCCATTTCTAAACACGCTTCTCCATAAAAAGGAAGTTAAGTCAGGGAATGAGCCTGAACATCTTGTTATATGGAAGGATAACATCGGGACAAGGAGTGAATCTTGAAGAGGGTCTGAGAATTCAATACTGTAATTTACCAGTGTTTGGTTGCTATGGGAAAATCTGTTTCTAAGAACTATACAGTAACCCACTTGACTTAAGGTCAACAACTTACTCTCAAATAGTTCAGAGAAGAAAAAAATTCCTTGTAACTTTTCTGTAAGTTTGAGATTAAATGGATGAACAAACAAATGGAAATGGGAAAGGTGAACAGGTAGTAACGTGGAGGGCAGGAAGAACTACTTACTGAGGTCTTCGGCCAGTTGAACACGTTTACCAGTAAGCAATTTAATCTTCTTCTCACCGTCTTCAGCAAAATCTTCCAAAACCTCTTTAACATTTTTCTCTAATCGCCTAACTGTTTAAAGTAAATTTAAAAACCTGAGGAGCATCGTTTTATAAATGAATAAAGATGATAAAAAGTACCTATATACAGAGAGTAAATTTTCTATCATGTTAGAACTATTGCTAAGTTAATACTTTTCATGCTCATAATCTCTGTCATACAGTAGTTTTCAGCATGAAACTATATATAGTCTCAGAGAATGTCATATGCTTAAGCTATACACTTTAATAGAAGCACAGATTTACCAAAAACTACGTGATATCTAGGAGTCCATTCCTAATAGAGTTTCATGCAATGAAGATGAACTCCTGATAAGTTTTATTGCCCAGCTTTTCCAATTATGATTCATTTTAAAAGCAAATAATTTTTTTTCTTTTTAAAGAGACAGGGTCTTACTCTGTCACCTAGGCTAGAGTTTACCAGTATGATCATAGCTCATTGTAGCTCAAAATCCTAGGGCTCAAGTGTTCCTCCCACCTCAGCCTCCCAAGTAGCTAGGACTACAGGTGTGTGCCACCATGCCTGGCTAATTTATTTTATTGTTTGGTAAAGATAGAGTCTTGCAATGCTGTCCTGGCTGGTCTTAAGCTCTGGGTCTCAAGCGGTTCTCCTGCCTCAGCATCGCAAAGTGCTGGGATTATAGGCATGAGCTACCACACCCGGCCAGTTTTTCTAATAAATCTATTTTTAGGGAAGTATTTTGGAATCCTTCTATTAACTATGTATATTACTACTATTATTTTTTAATGTCAAAATAAGACTGCAGTCCCTGTGTGGCTTACCTTCAGTGTTTGTAAGTTGTTGCCTTAAAGTATTTGCGGTGATAGCAAGCATGCGCTGTATACGCCAAAACAAGACCACATCATTGCATTCCAACTGAAATAATAAGTAATCAAGATTACCAGATGCAAAGTTAAAGTGAAAACTATAATCATAAACATACAACTACTAGAACCAGTACATACGTCCTAAGCTTTAAAAGTACCCAAATTTACCTAATACATACACTGTATATCTAAGCTGAAGAATCCTTTCTATATGGAGCCATGAAATTCTGCATAATTTGACCTCTATCTGTCAAATTCAGTTTAGAAACTGCTTTCAAATTTGCAGAACTTCTTTCTAATTTATTAATAGTATCTGCTTTTATTCTTTTAGGTATCAGAAAACTATGAAGACAGCAAATGTAATACACATTGAAAGAAAAAGATACCTTGTTTCATGAAGCTGAAATAAGGGGAGCTTGTAACAAGACAGGTTCTAACAGAGGCAGGTGTTTTAATTTAATAACAATAATAATGTTTCACTGATTTCCTTGAGTTCTCAAAGACCTGAGTAAATTTTAGTACTCAATCCTATCTTAAATCTAGAAACCTACCATAGCTTTGTTTCAAGTCTAATGACAAAACAAATAAGCTTGAGAAGTAGATAATTCCATTACACTGTATGTATGTTGAAATTCATAGCATATGCCTGCCATTTATATTTAGTTTTAATTAACCAGATTTGTCTTAAATATGTCCTTAGGTTAACCTGAGTCTGCACTAAAGCCATTTAAAAAATTCAGCTGTGTATAAAAATAAATTGATGTATTTAAAAAGAAGCTTATTCTATAGAAGGAAGTTTCTTCTTTCTATAAAAGTTTCTAATAGAAAAGTTCCCACAATGATCAAAATTATTCAAAAATTTGCCACTTTTACATAGTTGCACTTATATACAAATTTACTTTCATTTACTGAAAACAAAAGAATAGCATGTTAGAGGTCTCAAATAAGACTGATGATTAACTGAGCTTTTTCAAAAGGATATTTAAAAGCATTTTTGCTTGTAAGAAAATGCTCAAAATCTATCAGCCTGCTGCCACCTAGGGGTTCCTTTAAATTATGAAACATTCTAATCCAAGAACTTTATGATTATTTAAAACAAGATTTAGTGATGTGAAGAAGTAATTATGACACCTGAGAAAAACGATAAAAATTGTTTTGCAGTATGATCTGCATTATGCAAATGGATGGTTATGTTACACACACACACACACACACTCGCTCTCTCTCTCCTCTCTCCTTCCCTCTTTCTCTCCCTGTGTATAGAAAAAGTTGAATAGAAATACATAAAAATGTTAACTAAGATTCTTATAGGTCAGGGAATTATAAGGCACTCTTTCCTGTCACTTTATTATTTTTTTCTTTTACTATTTATATCCACACCTTCTTGTGAGCATCGGGGATAATACACATGTAAGATGTCGTTACTAATGAAGTGGCAAATATCTTTGAAAAGATAAGTTAGATTATTCTTTATAAATTATACATACCTTTCCCCAGATGATCAAAGGACTTAATGCTTAAGCTAAAGTTTACTTCTAAACATATTTTAACAACTATTGCTTAAAAATATTTCTCTCTTGTTTTTGGAAACCTTACCTCAGAATCTACAAAATGCCTTTGGTAGTAATAAAAACCTCTTCGACAAAGGTTACAATGGTTTAGAGCTGTTTTTAAAAAATGTCTTCTATAAACTTGATGCCAAGTATCTTTAATCTAAAATGAGAAAAGAAAACAAAACCAGAGTTACTGTGTACTCTTCGGTGATCAACCAGACTCTGAGAAGTTGTAAAAACAAAAAAAAATTATTTACCAAAAAAAGTTAATTAAAAGCAAAGTCAAGGTTATTCTTTACATAGTTATTCAAATTTTTTATTCATTTACTTTTTTGAAGACAAAGCTTAGATTTATTACTACTCTGACCCATTACCAGTTTATGTAAAAATTAGCAAAGATTTAAACACATGCTGTTATTATTATCAAATAATCATCTTGTGGAGTAGATAGGGTAGGTATTATCTTCCCCTAGTTAGAGGTGAGGAAACCAGTGCAAAAGGAGGTTGAAAGCCTTATCTCAAAATAGAGGTAGGACTTAAGAAGATGGTCACAGATCATGTCCAACTCAACATTTCCTTCCTGATTATCAAATTTCAGTTACCACACCAATGTGATCCCTTCTACTTTATTACTAGACAGTCTGAGTGCTAAGTATTCTTTAATACCCACTGTCCTTTTTTGAGCAAAACAATGATGTTAGAACAACCATCAACACCATTTGACAGATAAGGAAAGTAAGGTCAGAAAAGTTGTATCAATGATTAAAGGACTTATTATTAGGGAACATAATGGAATTACACTAGAATTCACACATCCTGACATCTAGTTCAAGCGATATTCTTCTCGTGGTACTTTGCTATTTATTTTATAGTTTTGTAAAGTGCACTGAACAAAATGTCACTCAAAAAACTGGAGGTTTTCTTGGTCATAGAAACTAATTAAGACATACAGCCAATCCATTGCCTAAGACATGAGCGGGAAAAAAAAAAAAAATCACGTAACATCTCTTCTTTACCAACCTGAGGAGAAAATCCCTCCTACATATTAACCAAAGTACCACATAACATCTAAAGTGTCAAACTGATATAACTTACTGTTAATGAGAGCTGGGATCATCAAGAATAAAAATTGAATCTATATTCAACTAAAATATCTCATGTAATCATTAGTTTTAATCTCATTTTCAATTTATAAATAATGTAAGCTGTATAACTGCTTTAAGTTCTACCAGTTTTATTTTGATTGTTTTACTTGTTCTGACCTCTGGTGGAATTTAAAAGAAGTATTACTCATTCCTCAAGTGCAGACACATAAATAGCATACAATCTTTAAAATAATTTGTGTGGCTTTCCTAGACTTATTTTTCTAATTGTTTTCACTTAAGCTAATATTAAAATGAGCTTTTGAATTCTTTACATTTTAACTAAGTAGTAGAGAAAGTTTTTAAAAAACGTGGGCCCAAAAGTATTTTTT